TACCTAGATGCCATCAAAAAAAATCCTACGTCCACTCACTGACCGTCCTGATTCGACGAGCAAGCTTATGCTTCGTAAACCACCACAGTTCAAACTTGAGAAAGTCGTTGGGAAATATGCGGTCCGAAATTCGCCAAATGAACCCTGCCTACCGCCGCCTGTACGTAACCCAGGGTTCCAGAAGGCTGGTGTCAGAGTCCCCGATCTGTTGCGCGAACCGCAAAATTTGCAAGTGCCCCATTTGAGCATAAACACTAAATATGGAACAAGTAGAATCAGCCGTCAATCATCTATCACCAACAAGCAGAAATGGCAGCCAAACTGGAGTGAACCCTCAGTGTTGGTTGAGGCACTTGTGACGCGCAAATCGCGCGACGGATCGCAGACTCTGAGACCAGCCTAAGGTAACACGTGTCAGAAGCAACCACATATGATGACCTTGCAAATCTTCCATTAGTAAGATCTAGGATAAACACTTGTAAGGGATTCATCGTGTTTGTTCAAACTGCATTTTCTTTGCCATAATTATCCCCATATGTACAAGCACTCCGAGAACCTTCCTAGAATACCTATTTCACAGGAGGAATCGTTGGGATAAGAGGGTCCGTGAAGCGGACGTATAAGTCGTCCCCAATCACGAAGCTCCATGTGGCAATGTTTTGCTATCTATTTGCCTGTTACAATCTTTTTACCAATGAACAATTCCGACGGCGAAGTCGCCGATTTGAGCAAACATCAGTGTCTGAATCGAGAACACATTTCCCTTTCAGTTTTTTGGCACGTTCCAAAAAACTTGAAAATTCATGTCTACTTATCGGTTAACTGTCCTGAATAGGCTCCTGACTGACTTTGATGATGGACGGCTGTTCACGCGAGGCATCACCTAAGCTGAGCAGGAGCCTGTCTTTTTCTTCCAGCAGTGAGGGTTTTGCAATCTCTTCAAACGGTTCATGGAGCCCAAATTTATCAAACACTCTCTTTTCTCAACACTGAGCCATTCGGGAGCCTTGTTGTGGTATAATGTGTGTTACCGAAGATGTGCGAACAAATTATTTCAAAAAGCCCGACCAAAATAAAGAACTTGAGACTTTTCTTAGATAAAAATCTCTGAGATTTCAGACATCTTCTCCTTTGCGACAAGTTGTGAGAACAGCTGCTGCTCACAGTACGAATCTGAACTGTCGGTGTTACAACTGTGATAAGGAATGCCAAATTTAAAGTGTTCAGATGACGTAAAGTTTCCAAAGGGTGAGTGGTTCTGTTCCATAAGTTTTATTTATGTAAAAAGAATCGTTCTCAATTATTTCAATCATGCGCTAGCACTTGCAAATCTTATGAGAATTAAGTTACTCTGGTTGGCTGTGATCCTTCGCCTAGCACTTTCGACTTCTAAGGGAACGCAAACTCTGCAGAACTCACTAGGACTTCTTAGCATACTTCCCAATGCGACCCTATTCAGCCTAACTTTGCTGCACATAATTTTTGCCACAGTACACCGAATGAAGGATCCTAGAAAATCTCAGAATATCAAAACCGCGGGAAGACGTCTGCAAATAGTTCTTTCAAAGAACACTTAGTGATTGTTACCAAGGGTAACTCATAGGCTGTCTGACCGATGGACAAGATTAAGACTCATTTTTGCTATGTCCTGCTCTGCTGCTTCGATTAGAGAGGGAGACATTAAAATAGGAAAGAGAGTGACAGAATGACCTCTGCCCTCGCCTCTGACTCTCCGAGTTTATTCCCTTTCTGCTAGGCTCAACCATCCGTCTGACCGATCCAGATGGAGGAGAGTGTAGTAAACGTGATTGACAATGGTCAAAGGGCCAAAAAAAGGAGTCGTAAAAGTTTTGGAATCGGCCGAACGCCAGGTTGACCCTGCTTCCCCCTCCCCCTTCACCATCTCCTTTCCCTGAAACTCAAACGAACGTATTGGTGGATTTCAGAACATTCGTCGTACCGTCACCTGGTGAGGATTGGATCAAGGAACATGAAGTGGTCTTTCACGAATTTTCTTCACTAGCTTGCTGTTTTGCTCCGAAATCGAATTTTGCTAATATTTCTTGGTCCCAACTGATTAATTCATGAAAGATTTTTTTGCATAACATTTCGATCTAATTCACGTTCAAAGAACGTGGTTGCTATCATTCGAAAATACTGATAGCCTACAAACGAAAGAAAAATGTTGCGAAGAGAACAGTCAGATCGAACATGAATGATGGGAATGAACGAGGAAGGAAAAACCAAAAGTGATAAATGGCGCCTTTTATAGAAACAAGAACCAAATTGAACACCTGTGGCTCTCTAACTTCTTTAAATCGTCATCAAAACCTTCCAAATTGTCATTTTTATTTCAGTCACTCAACATCCAGGCCGAAGGGGGGGGCACCCGGGCTTCTCCCCTGCTAAAATTGTGATTGCTATAGCCGCTACGAACTATTGCACCACGATTCCCCTTCCGCAATTACACTCACGTCACATTTTGATTTAATATCTTCACAAGAGGCTAAAAAACGCGGTTTGATGCTACTCTCTAAGATGTTATTTCATTTTCAATGAGAAATATAGGGTTTGTTTTTCGCGAAATAATGTCAAGAAATCAAAACAAGGCTCTAAACTCTGTCCGCCGATTTTTTCATGTCACTGAGTTTGCTAGAAATTTTATTGATTTCTCAACTTCAACGTGATCGTCTTCTTCACAGGAGGAAATGTGAATGCAAAGAATTCCTTCTAATTGCCGAAAGTCTCCCATCTTCGTTATTTCTACTGCATAACCGAAAATTTCAAATGAGCGGAACGGCGCCTTTTTTCATCAAAAGTTCCCCACTTTCTTCACGCATTGGGGCGCGGCCGCGGCGAGCGCGCGAGTCGATAGCTGCGCGAACTGATGGTCTGATTGCGTTTCAAATTTACCCACACCAGTTCGCGGGGCACTATCGACTCGGCGGGCTCGCGCGGCCGCGCCCCAAATCGTGAAGGAAGTGGGGTGCGAAAAACGCAAAAGTCAAGCGGAATGCTGAGGTTAGATGATGACACACTCCAAGGGCAGGGTCAATCGTAGCGTTGGACGATTTCAGACATGTTATGTTATGTTTATTACATGACAAGCATGTACAAATCATACGTTACGATCACACATACGATCTCTCACCACCTGTAATTGCTGATCACTTTTAAATCCCCTTTGCGAACACCCCAAAATTGATCCAGTGACTGAAACGGCAAAATTCTTCGGAATTTTTCTTGATTTGCTAGAATTTTCCCTAATTCCCGGAGCACCCTCTTACCATCGCGATTTTGGGTCTGAGGCGCCCTTCCCCAAATAACCCTCCTATCTGTCTCAGATGGGTGGAGGGCTGGTTTCATCACAGCATTATAGAGCCTTACATTCTTATGTTGCTGTTGCTTCTACTTTGACAGTGCATGAGATATGAGGATATTAGGAGTGCCTCGTTACAGATCTCGTTTCCGAAGCTCTATGGAGGAAGCAGCAATGTCCGAAGGTTGAGCGGGTACGTTACCATCTTTACTTTAAGGCCCGTACAGTATTTATCAAATGAAGATGTCATGTGACAGTTGAGACGATCTTTAACTTAAAAGATTATTTGAATTTGGATAAACGGAAAACTATAAGCAGACGAGTCCAGAGGTTATGAATGCGACTATTTTCACTCCAGTGTTATCGATGGTTGGAACTTGTTTGGTTAGTTATGAGTCATGCAACTATAAGTCAATCAATGAATTTTGGCTTTTGTCCAGCCCACTGTTTTTGGAGGAACAAACAGTTTCCTCCAAACGATTTTTTCCACAACAATACTTATCCAGCCTTGTTGTTCACAAGTGCTAGACAAACAGTAAGTAAAAGGTGTAACAAGAAACTATTCGGTTTGCGAGGTTGTCAACGACTTCTCCCGACTGTCGCACTCGACTTCCTGCGGAATCGATTCTTTCAGATGGGGACATTTCGAACTTGGAGTTTGATCCCGTAAGTGCTCCAGTCCTAGATAGGTAGGGGTAACGGTTGAGGGAAACCCTGGACTGAAAGATCGCTGATGAAAAAAGGCCCAAACTTTTTTTTGCCTGGACACATTTCTACTGCGCTTTGCATACAGCATACTGGGACAACAATTATGATGAAATAGCTATGTAAATAGTAATATAACTACATGATATGACATATTTATACTTGGAAATGCTTCAAAATTGTGAAAAGGCAGCAGTTGTGGGAAATGGAACGCTTCGAGCTGAGCTGAAGGCTCTCAGGTTTCGGACATCAGAGACATTCGCTGTTTATCTTCGCCCTTCATGCTGAACAATTGCAAGCTAACCCGTCCATCACTTCCTAGCCGAACAGCCGCTACTACACCTGTCGTGCTAAACCATAAGGGCCATCGTCAGCGCGCGCGCTCGTAATCAACACCGGACGCTGTTTTGGTATCGTATTCAATGGCTAGTGAGATGGCAAACACTCATAAGGCGAGATCCTGTGATATCCATTGTTGTAGCAGTGATGAGTCATGTACGGCCGACGGGCGGAGGGTGTTTCGAAAGCGTTCCCCGTATAAAAGAGTGCAGGCCCAGGCAGTGGCGCTGTGTTCCGTCTAAGCCGCCCGCACGTTCCTAGGTAACCCGTTGTCGTTTACTGCCATTTACTATTATCTGGTTAAAAAAAAGGTTTATCAAAAGTGACTCGACGCTCTGAATCGGACGAGAATTGTTTGGTGCCGGTAAGTCGGGTTCCAGTTAACTGCTCAACGAGAAATCGATTGTGGCCTGTGTCAATACTAGGACACAGGCCTTACTGCCTTCCATAAATATGCACATCCAGAAAATACGAGCGCCATTTCTACACCTACAATATCGCTTTCATTTTCCATTCCATTTTTCGCCGAATAATGGTCACTTTTCACATCTCACATCTCTCACTCTTCACTCCGTCTCTCGTTCTCACTATATACGTCGATGGCATCGTAAACACTAGTGCACCCTAGTTGCAGAGAATGGCCTGCGAGAAAATCGGTGACCCGGTGAAATCGACTGTGACCGAGCCTTGCGATTATCATCATGCTTTACTTGCTGGAGATCATGTATGGCTATTTGGAAGGAACTGTAAGTTTATACGAAGTTCAATATCGACATAGTACAATAGAATCAATGAGAATCAAGTGCTATGTGAGCTTTTTGGGGAAAATGGTACGCTTACCCATCCCGGTCATCCTTCCTCTAAGCGCTTAGCTCTAGAAATGGCCTTCCTTTTCTTAAGCTAAGCGCCTTAGAGAAAGGATGACCTCCGAAGTCTAAAAGCATGTTACTGGGGGTAAGTAATCGTAGCCGACTCACATAGCACCTGAAATATGAGGTTCAAATTAGAATGTGTAATTTTCAGTTGTGAACCTGCCGACACACAGCTGGGGACATCGAGTCGCGTTGGCAGGAACGTACGGAGTGGCATTTAACCTCGGTAATAACAAATGGGAGGAGCCTCAGAAAGTGAGTTGAGATCGACGTAGGAATCGACTTGAGAAGAAGAAGTTTAAACTAAACAGCGGTGATAGGCAGGAGTACTAATCGCTGACCTTTGTGTTTGGCTGCGGGAAGGGAGAGCTGTGTCGTTTTATCGATGGGTTATTTTGCACTACCTGTTCGGCACACTCGTGCTATCGGCGACATACTGTCCAGAAAGAAATGATTTACAATCGGGACCAGGAATAAAATACAGGAGAACACCGGGGAGATGTCGACAGATAAATGAATGTCCGATGGCTGTGTTGGTTTCCAAACAGGGATGGAATGTTTTGATGCGATGTGGGAAGGTCAACATAGCGCTCCCGCGCTGTGATATCGATCGGTAACTGTTTTTTAGCTGGCTGCTGCTCCTGTCCTGTTTTGTACTTCTGCACTATATTGGTCCTATTGATGTGTTCGCTTGCAAATCGAAATTCATTCACTTGAGCGCTAAAAGCGAGGCAATAATAGGCAGGACCATTTTTCAGCTGAGGGGTTGGATCTTGTAGAAAATACTTGGGGCAAGCAAGCGGGATGAGAAGTAGCCTCAAGAAGCGTGAAATAGTTTTCAGGAAAGGAAATTCCTCCACAAGGACTTTGGGTGCTAGCTTAGTTGGGGGGGGGGACCCCGCGACGATGCGGTGCTTTATTCGTCTGCACCTCTGAGGCTTAGTCATAGGGGCCGTTACTATTTTGCGTGGCCCTGCAGCGCCTTTTCTCCCAAGAATCCTCATGCGTCAGGCTAAAAATTACATCTTTGGACGGACCACTTAGTAACGAATGGCGTTAAATGGCGTACGAGAAGCTCGTTGTCCGCGCGAACCATAGCCCCAACATACTCCCCCTTCCTATGCGGGGGGAGGGCTATGTTGCCTTTTCTTATGGTAGGGAAGTAGTTTTCTTGCTTTCAGCACATACTTTCTTTCACGCGCGTATACTCCTTTCAAAAAACGAGAAGAGCGCCAGGTACAGACCATACACCAAATACACCATAAGTGACGACAGCCTCCACAAAATGTAAATGTTTTCTGCCAATGATATGATCGGCCTTTTGCAGTTGTATTTAATCGGTTGTTAATAATTGCAGCTGTCATTTACCAAAAATCAGCTATCACTATGAACCACTACTTACCATATTAACTTGGAGACCGTCGTCACTTGTGGTGTATGATCTGCACCTGCTACTCTTCTCGCTTTTTGAAAGGGGGTACTATATCACAAGCAGTATCTTTCTAAGGGCGATTCTGGCTGGAAAGACTAAGAAAATTCGAAGGGATTTTCGTCCCTTCCCTGTGGGGGAAGGATAGCATACGTCCATTAGTTTAGTAAATAGCGCCAGACCGGGTCCAACAACAGTAAATATAGAAACGGGTCAAAAATTGCATAAGCTATGCAAACAGTGGTGTTTTGTGAAAATGCGCGAAACGGTTGACATACTGCACCGCTTAAACCCTGGACAAAAACAAAGCGGTAAACGAACTTTACCCGGTTCTTTTGTACATAACTTTCATTTGCCCTTTTAGATGATATCTAATCAATCATGTTATCAGTCGCTTTGTTTTGCATTCCATGTATGACCGACACTTTCAGAACATCCACAAAAAGGTTTCAAGTTAAATTTCAGTTCCCAGCTCTATCGCAAGAGGAGAATGTCAGCGAAGTCTTATTCGTCCTCAACAAGGCCATTTACATTCTTCTGTTCTCTGCGTTCAGTGAACTTTCGATGAAATCGCTCCACAAATGGACAGGAACTGCTTGGGAACCAGTGAAGCTTGAGGTAGGATCTCCAGTTTTTTCTGCCAATTCTGTTTCATATGGAATTTGATGAATTCTAGAGCTTCCCAACAATAGCTGCTGCTGATCCGGCCGAGCGCGTTACTATGGTAGTAGCTGAAGGTCCTCATCAGGATTCGAGGTATCTAGTCAGTACTGTTGGACACAAAATCAGAGTAGCACACCTGAAGTTGACCGATGGTGCAGCCCAAATAACACACGTCCTGGATGTGCCAGACGATGCTACAATTTCGGTGAGCATTACCCTTTGACTTTACTTGAGTCGTACTTCACCTCTCCGTCTTCTTATTTCGTTACTTACATTTGGGTTCTGCCCTAGGTTCAGGGGCCTTGTGCAGAATCAACCGTTCATTTTATTAAGTTCAACGAGATGGTAGTGCTTGAGATATTCAGGGGGTCATATTACAGTGGGGGCAGAGTGATCGATTTTGATGGGGTTTTCGACAACATTGGCGAAACCTTCAGGAAAGAAGTTTGAAGAGTGGTGCATTTAGTATATTTTAGGCACATTTGCACCTTGAGATATGTTACTTGAAGTAGCGCCAACTCGGCGCACTGATTTTTTCGATTTTGATTTTCTCCTCATACATTAGTCCGTATTGAACATACGAAGAAATTGACGCATTCTCATACCCGTTTTTGAAAGGCTGGCGAGAATTGCCGAAACGTATTCTCTCACCCCATTATGGTCATATTTTAGGATTCAGATAATGTAGCGATTTTCAGCTCGCACAAGCTGTATCGGCTGTGGAATCTGGAGATCGGTTGTTGATAGGCTACGGTGTTCATGGATGCGGATTCCGATGGGAGAAGAACCGTCTCGTCTTGTGCCATCTCAACCAGAAGTCTTGTGAAGCACTTAATGTATGTCCCTTCAGGTATCTGTGTATATCTCGATAAACATTAACGTTAATATTCCAGATCCCTTCTGAAGCAGGTCCAAGATGGGGATTTAGCGGTGCTAAGGGACTGGCTCTTTCACCAACTGGAGCATGGATTCATGCATCAGGAAATATTCCATCAGGTATGTCTGACATAATTTCTATTTTTTCTGTCCCTGGAAATGCTGTTCTCATCCAGGCATGCATGGAAGTTCATTCGACGGGTCCATTTGGGCGCTAACCAATCTGGGTTCAACGCCGGTATGGCACCAACTTGAAGGAAATGTACCCTCTGAAGGAGATGTAGTGATCGGCAATGGACGTGTCATTAGTGTCGACAAAGACGGTGTGCACAGCCAACAACTGAAAGAGTGATGGAGTAGTGATTGGTGGTTATCTGATCCATGCATATTGACGCAGTTCACTCGTTAAAATACTTCTGTGTGATAAAGTTACACTTTTATTCTATTCCGGTACGAGTTTGTCGAGACTTTAACATAATCATTCACATATTTTTTTGGGTTGTGTGGCTGTAACAGTTGAATAAATGTGTCATATTTACTCTATGTTGCTTTTTTCCCGAAATGTATATGTGGAGCTATCATAATTTGTGGATTTTAATAACGATGTTCGTTCCGTGGAGCTGAAGGAACTGCCGATTTTGAGAAATCGCGAACTGATCCTGAGCAGGGCTTGATTCGAGAATTTTTTAACTCTGGTTGGTTTCGGAAGGCTTGTTCACAGTTTTCGATCAGAGAATAGACGAGTTCGCGAAAAGAGTTAGAAAAGCGTCACCACTTGAATTGACCCACGCGAGAACCCGTACGGCCGGCTTATAGTCCGCGATCCGTCACGTGAATTCGTGGATCACAGAAATCAAAGTTCCCCGATCAGTATTGCGAGGTGCTTTTCAATCGTGCCGCGAATGCTGCTCGATGGTTTCAGTTTTTCGAATGTTCAACTGGAGCACTTGCGATTTCTGCGATTCCCACGACTCGCGCGACGAATCGCCGACTCTGACACCAACGTAAGCGAAACGCCAGGCCTCAACAGAACGGGTTAGATAGGTATCGATCAGTTGACATCGGCCCATCGGATTGACCAGAAAGTGATGATGGGTCGAAGTGACCACATGCGCGGTTGGATGTGTTTTTGGACGCTAATCTCCAACCAGCTTTCCAAATCTGCTAATCATTTTTCTAACCGCTGTTGCAGCGGTAGAGATGTGGACTCAAAGGCGATAGGTCGTAGGTAAATGGCCAATGATCTGGCTACGAATTTGCCCCTTGGGTATTTCTATCTCCGGAACACAATTTTCACACCTGTAGCTGCAAAAACGTCTGTTAGAGGCAGCAGTTAAGATAAATTCAAGAACGGTTTAGTGTGAGGTGGTCGTGTTCAGTGGTACCCCAGCAGCGAAAAAAGCAGAAAAATCCGTCTAGAAAACGCAAAACGGGATCCCCTTTCTTGGCCGTTGGTTTCCACTCGCGAACAGGTAACAACTTAGAAAGTGGATGTATGAACGAGTTCACCGCAACGCATTCGATGGCACCTGCCAGAATCGAGACGCTCCATTTGCGCCGCTGCTGGTCAAGCAGCTCGTCCAAATCAACAAATAAACTTGTGGGCGGATCGCCTTAGGGGACGGAGTGCTTTCAAAAACCCACCTTTTTCGTGAAAGCGCTACATCTCGCTACCCTGGCAACCAAGTAACTGACTAGTGTGGTACACATGCTTCCCCGATGCGCTCCCTCTCATCGTAACCGCTTCCTTTAAGAGTTCTGCTTGCTGCATGTGCAGTCGTTAGTAAGTAGCGCCCAAACTTGTTAGCGCGACTCCTCGCAAACTCTTGTACTGGTAAATATAAGGAAACTTTGATCAAGCAGTGGGGGGGGGGGGCTTTCTGATCCATGTTGCCGCGAAGGCAGAATGGAGAATACGTCACGGAATCGATCCTGCGACCTGTCGCCCATGAGCGCGGACCACGACCGCTGCTCTTTCTCCATAACTCCGTTCAGAAAAGCGGTTGGCAGGTTTGGAAGGCAGATTCGAGATCAACGTCCAAAAACACATCCGACAGTATAGGTTTCATCACATAGGGCCACTTCGACCCATCGTCTTTTCCTAGTCATTGGATCGCGCAAGGGACGCGCCACCCTCCTATTCTTTTGATTTCAATGTAATCCCTCTCGTGAGTCCTTTCAGTTCCTTTTCACTGGTTCGTCGTCATCCCAAGAAGTTTTGCCCGTTCCCCTGTTGGCACACCTGCTAAATGCCCACAAATTCATTTTGAGGACTTAATCCACTACAGTAGGGAAAAGGCATGTGGTGAGACTGCTCATATTGCTTTGAGTAATCCAATTTTTCGCACGGGAGGGAAGCTCCGGTTGGGGTGAGTACGAAAGCAAGGCACAATGGTCTACGCACTCCGCAGATTTCTTCCCCTTCAAAAATGAAAATCTGCAGGTAGCAACTACTGTCGCGCCACAAGTTCCCCTTCTTCCTGGATTAGACCCCATATTGACTTTTCTTGCAACTGTTGCCCTGTTAGATAGTCGTTATTACCACTCTTTTAAGTAGGCCAAACCACAGTTCTTTAAAGATCGTTACTACAGATGGAGAAGAGATCACCAGTATAAAAGCTCAGCAGCAGCTCTAGGCGTTAATATCATTAACACATTGGCGACCAAGCAATTTTTGTGAAACGCTTCTATACGGTGTAAATACCAAAACAGGAGGAACTCAAGGCGTGAACTGTTGAAACTCCATTTGTCTCGAACAACTGCTTAACGGGCAAACTAAGCAAAAATCTCTACGTCCAGCCAAGGGGAACTTCGTAACGCCCCTGGAGAATTCTAATCTTCCGCTGTAGAATCCGCAAATGAGATTGAACACAAATTTCTTTCTTGCTAAAAGTTCCATCATTGAGCCTACTAATTGCAAACAGAAAGGCAGCTTCATACATCAAAATGAACAAGATTACCCTTTAAGAAGCACTTCCAGGCATCTCTTTTGTAAGACATTCAATGTGAAAGATTTTCAAGAGCATGGCCATCATAAGTTTTACGACGTAATAAGGGCTAATAGAGAACCGCTCAAGATTTGGGATATGCGCATAGGAATTAAATTTTAGTAGTGTCGCCTGGCATCGGGCGACATTGTCGCCAATGTGTTAAGGAAAAGTGAATTATGCAAAAATCACTTACATCATGCTTGAAGCCATTCATACGGACCTCAGATGAACTTGGTTTAATTACGTGCCATACATGTGTAAAGGATAAAGTATAAAACATTCGGCGTCATCAGGCCTCTTTTGGAATGCGCCAGGCGTTCTACTTCATTCAAAATCGTGGTTTCAATACCAATCCGATTTGGCCTATGAATTGCGGAGGTCTACAGATGCACAAGCAAATGTTTTCGTTTTTCCAGACAAAGGCTGCTAATTAACCGACTTTGGAAGGATGGTAGGCTTGGTTACCTAGAGCGGAGTATGATCCAGGATTCAATCCCCGTACTGTGCGCGTAGTTACTAGCGTCAATTGCTACAACACTACTTCCGCCCCATTATATGTGAATTGAGAAGAAAGCTTACAGCGTGAAATGACTGGATTCACAAGTTGTTTCATTACCTGTTGTTGTTTTATGGCCGAAAGATGACTTAACATTTCTTGACAGCTCGAGAAGTACTACATTTCATCCTGATATTGATCCCCTCTCTGTCGAACTCATTACCGTTAAAGGTGGGGCCCGGGTCCTCTGGTCGGAATTGAGCTTTTTTTCGAGCATGTGCAGCGGTGCGCAGGCGGAAACACGTACACAACTTTCGGGATGATTTGACGAGTCTGAGGAGCCAGGAGCCAGGACCCTAGGATGCAGCAGTGGAAACGCCCAACACCGTTGAACCCGCCCGCATGTCAGTGCTATTTCACTTTGTTGCTACGGGAGAGAGGGTTTTATTATAGGCCTTGTCGAGTTTTTCCCGTTTTCCATTGCTATCGTTACACTTCACATCTCTACTGCCACCTGCAAATACATTGGTTTGGTCCCGGCCTTTGCCTTTGAGGCCGAGGCCATACACTACTGAAATTTGGTCGAGAAGCGTGCTTGGAAAATATTTTTAATTGAAAGAATCAAGCTCAGACCATTGCGTGCACTTAGCAAATGAATTTTGTTCTAGTGAATCCTCTATGTTTTCCTGTTCCCTTCTAGTCTTTCAGTGTGAATCAAATATCTGACGAAAAAGCATCCAGTTTTCGAGAAAGGAAACCCACGTGAGAATGTCTCTTCCTCAAACTATTCTATTACATGTCTGCTGGGGTTTCTGTGAAAGATCAATGCTGCAAAAACTCGGATTGATGCTCTCATGTTTCCGTGCGAAAGGGCTGAGATAGTGTAATGGGAAGTGCAGCGATTAATGCGGGTTTCGGGGTTCAAGCCACGAGTAGAACCACACCCAGATCAGCGAAAGCACCCCATCGCTTAACTAGAACCGACTCGTAAAGAATACAAAAACACTGACTTTTACATGAGCTGACACTGAAGTTCTTGTGTAGGTCAAGAAATATCAAAATGTCGAAATTTCGGATGATATGGATGAATAGCACATCCCAAAAAGATGTAGTCACCAATGATGATTTCTTACATTTCCTTTCTCCTAAGACAAATTTATCATGCTCTTGATGTGAATCGGTATAGTTGAAATCAATTTAGATTTACTGCTGTAAAAAATCCTAGAAAAAGCTTGCAAAACGTTTGGTGAGGTAACACCTACAACGGCACATATAAGCAGTTGGCCAACTCATTTACACGCTGCTTTCCGTAACCGTTAGTTCCATTTTTCTAGAACCTATCTTTGAGCTTCTTTCTTCATCACTTCCGATTAGGATCTTCAAGATACCAAAAAAAGAGGATCAACCAGAATACAGGTGGACGCGCACTCCATCAATCAACGATAACTGTGGTTCACCCAACTCAGGGTAGGAATTTTATAGTTGAAAATGATCCACATTCCAACCACCCAGTGAGTGGCAACTCGCTGCTCTACCCGATAGGGGTGTCCCCCAACAGGTTCACCGCGCGGCGAAGGAAGAGACGCAGATGCGGCAAAGGACGAGTCGCAGCGCGTGCTGTGCGATATGAGACGTAGTATGGTACACTCTGTTTAACTAGGTACCTAACCGCTACAGTATGGGGACATTCATCATTCAGTATCTCCACTTGGTTCAACTAATTACCAACACTTCGACAACGCTGCAGGTTACTATACCGTCTATAGTATTAACCTTTAAAACGCAATGGCTCAGAAATCGTTAATAGGTAGGCCTTCAAATTGAAGAAAGGTGTTATGAATATAAAAAAAACTCCCATTTTTAAGATGCTTATAAATTAGGCCGGTGTTGAGGTGCGTTATTTCAAGACTGTATACACGTAATATTAGTAATGCTGTGATACTGAGTATACATAATGTGACTGTTGTAGCATACCAATATTGATAGCCGTTTCTCTTTTGTCTCCCGTTAGCATCCAACACACGCATGTCGGCTGCCATCAACGCTTGAATAGTCTCCGGGAACGAACTGAAATGAGTAACTCATTGAACGGAAAGCACAAAACACTAAAAAACAGCTCACCTCT